AGTCTGGGCGAGTAGTATTGCGTGGATTTGGGCAGTGGGGTGGGTCAGTGCGTCGGCAATGTTGGAAGCTCCCTTTTTGTAAGTGACCGTGTAATGGAAATTCGACTCGAGAAAATCGAGCCAGCGGATCTGTCGTGGGTTGAGGTGGGGTTGTGCGCGGAGATACTGTAGTGATCGGTGGTCTGTTCGTACTGTCACGTCTGCGCCGGTCAAGTAACAGCGCCACACTTTGAAAGCATGCACGATCGCAAGCATTTCGCGATCGTGTATCGGGTAATTCTTCTCAGGTGGGTGCAGCTTTCGTGATTCGTATGCGATAGGCTGTAGGCCGTTCCCGAAATCCTGTAGTAGTACGGCTCCGATGGCGATGTCGCTTGCGTCAGTAATGACTTAGAATGGGCGGTGTGGGTCGGCAATGCGCAGGACAGGCGGTGAACAGAGAACATTTTTCAGGGTAGAGAAGGCAGCATGCTCTTTCTCCCCCCACGTAAAAACGACCCCCTTCCGCAGCAGATCCGTCAGTGGGGCAGTTAAGCGTGCCATGTCAGGGACGAACCGACGGACGTAATTAACAAAACCCAAAAAACTCTGCAGCTCCGTGATGTTTGTCGGGGGGTGCCAAGCCTTGACCGTATCCAGCTTCTTTGGGTCAATCTCAACCCCAGCCTCCGAAATAACGTGCCCCAAAAATTCTAACCTATCCCGAAAAAACTCGCACTTAGACCCCTTGGTCAATAAACGATGCTCCTCTAAAATTTTAAATACTGCTTCCAGGTCCGCTAAATGCTGCTGCTTATCGCGGCTGTAGACGAGAATGTCGTCGAGGTAGACTATCACACACTTATCTAAAAGTGGTCTAAACGCCTCGTTCATGGTCATCTGGAATGTTGCGGGTGCGTTGGTCAGCCCGAAAGGCATCACGGTATACTTGAACGATCCGTACCTAGTCCTAAAAGCTGTCTTGACGCAGTCCGATGGTTCGACTCTAATCTGGTGGTAACCTCCCCGTAAATCTATCTTCGAGAACACCCGTGCTGTTCGCAGTTGGTCGATCAGTTCGTCGGCGCGGGGAATGGGGTATCGTGACTTCACTGTAACCCTGTTGAGCGCTCGGTAATCGATGCACATGCAAAACCCTCCATCTTTTTTTGGTGTGAATAGTATCGCTGCGGCGAACGGCGACGAGCTCGGTCGGATAAACTGCTTCGCTAACAGGTAATCTAACTGCTTCCTCAGTTCGTCGAGCTCCGGCTGTGCCAGTCTGAACTGGCGCTGTACAGTTGGCTGTGCCCCCGGCTCTAACTCTATCCTATGGTCGTGCGCCCGCTGAGGTGGCAGTCCTTCCGGTAAGTCGTCGGGGAAAATCCCCGGGTACCGTTTCAATAGCTCCTGTAGTTCAGGCGGTACCGTTGTCAGCAGTTTCTGAAAATCACTCGGCTGCTCATCTTTTCCTACCACTGCGATGTCCACTGCATACACGTCAGCTCCAGCGGCGACTGCCCGTTTCATTGTTATGGCGTTGACGTGGACCGTCGACGACTCAGGCGAGTGCCAGCGTGGTAGTTCGACCCAGTTACCACTACTTCGCACAGTGCAGCTGCCTGTCGTCCAGTCGATTCTCGGATTGTAACATCGCAACCAATCACGTCCTAGTAAAATATCGTGCCCATCCAGTGTCGTCGCGAGCATTTCTTGTGTAAACCCGAAGTTCCCTCCGCAGCGAACTTTTACTCTCTCCACCTTCTCCCGTATGGCCAGCGGCGTGCCGTCGACTAAGCGTGCATCAATCTCAGGTAAGCATCGGCTAAGTGTCAGTTGAAGTTTCTGTGCGGTCGCGGTATTAACTAAACTGTGACTAGCTCCTCCGTCGATAAAAATCTTGACTGCTGCTCCCTGTATTTTCCCGTGGATCAGTACTGGGCAATCCGTCGCTGTACCCTCCTTATTCATCCGAGCCCAATCGATAGCGTGAATCGGTACTGTGACTCGGTGAGGGTCGGTGTGGTTGGGCGAGCAGGCAGTCTCGTCAGTAGTCGGCCCAATTTCTACTGACTGCTGGCGTTTCCCTGCCTCTGAGACTCCTTTCCTTGCTCTGCTCCGCGGCGCCTTAGCTCCTCTGGACACTCACTTTTACGATGGCCCGGCCTGATGCAAGCAAAGCAGCTCCCCTTGAATGGTGCGGCAGCTGCATTCGTCGCAACGGCGTGTACGGTGGCGTGCTCGACCGGTCCTCGAGGACGATGTCCGTAGTAGGACCCCGGTCTCGGACGGCACAAAATGTCGATTTTCTCGGCGAGCGCGAGAATCTCGTTGAAATTCGAGAGTCCGCGTAGCATTATTTCCTGCGAGATTTCCGGCTTTAGCCCTCCGACGTAACGGTCCACCCGCTCCGCTTCGTGCATGTAGCCGACCTGCTCGCATAATGCGAGAAAACCGCTCGTGTAGTCTTGAACTGACCCGAGCTACCGCCAAGTGCGCAGTTTCTGACGCGCCGAGATAGAAGCCGCGATCGGCTCGAAGCGCGCCCGAAGCCCTACGCACCACGCATCCCACGTGCTGTATTGGGCGGTTTCGCAGAATGAAATCCAGTTGACTGCTGGGCCCGCGGGCCCTTCCTCTTGCGACGGTGGCTTGTAGGCGCGTGGCGACGTCACGATGACTCGCCACCAGTCCATAGCGGGGCCCCTCAACAGCGAGACGGCGTATCGTATCTTCGCTGCGTCCGACTCGACGTAGTTCGCGTAAAAAAACACGTTCATCGTGAAGATCCACGACTGAACCGTCGGACCACCACGCTGGCTCGGGTCGAAACAGGGCGGGCGCTGCGGCTTGAGTGGCATCGGCGCCATGATTGCCTGGTCGCCACTTGTTGCCGCAAACTCCACGTGCCGACGGGCTTCACGAGGCTCCCGTGGGCTTGGTGCGACCCGGTTTCCTCCCATGCCAGGCATTGGCTGGGCGGTGCTGTCACTGGCTGCGCCTGAGCGCTGTCCCACGCTGTCGTGCTGTGTTGGTGTGCCGGACGAGATGACAATCGGCTCGTCTGACTGTGCAGGTGCCTTTTGTGACGCTGGAGCATTCGCCGCAGATTGCTGACGTGCGGAGTCACGTTCTGCCGTGAGCGTCGCAATCTCGAGTGCTGATTCTTCAACTTGACGGATCAGACGGTCAAGCTGCTCCTGCGTCAACGTCGCGAGTGTAAATTCAGCCATGGCGGGGGTGTCGGGCAAGCGCAGCGAGAGCCTCTGTCGTGGCCGTGCGTGCTTACGAGAGAGCACTACGAGCGGCGGTGCTTGATCGCTGAGAGACGTCTACCCCCCCCAAAAATTGAGATAGTGGGGAAACGAAGGTGTGAATGCGGTCCGAGAAGAGATCGTAGGCTCTGAATACCAAGTGTTACGGGTGCAATGGAGTGAGCGAACGAAGATTGCACTATCGAAGCAAGAGTACAATGAGCGAAGGCATGAGCGAAGGATTATATAGCGAAATTACAGTGGTAACGGTAATGGACTGTGGCTGCCGCGTGACGGGCCTGGGACTGAGGTTGGAAAAAGTGTCGAGGCGGTGGTCCGGAGCGCGGGTTACCGCCGAGCCGTGAGGTCGGGGTGCGACATGCGAAAAATGGCGGGCGGATTATTGATGCGAGTGGTAACGGTGCTGACTGAGGTACTACAGTGATGTACGCGGTGAGCGGGGATGCGAAGGAAGGAAAAGGAATTTTCCTTACAGTAGCGAATGTCATGATATCAAATTATACTCGGCATTCCTGATCGTAACAGATTTAGGCATTACCAAAAACATAAATTGAAGGGACGGATGAGTCGAAGAACTATCGAGACCATTGTGACAGAATCATTTGACAGTTGTGGCATAATAAGATACATAGCGAATGCAAACCTGCTCTAATGATTATCAGATGCATGTTCACGTGCTAGTGTCTGAATATGTAGTGTATCTAGCCTGCAGTGGGATACTCTGTAGTGAGTATGATCCCTTAGGGTTTCCTATACGTATCCACCTGCTTGCTAGTGAGCCTCCTCCTTTGCTTGATTCTCTCTTGCCTAGCTAGGTAAACCCGAGCTATGGCTCCTCGTTCTGCTTACTATTGTGACATGGTATCAGAGCGGTTACGCTCCTGGTCTGTGGGCCCGCTTGCTTCCGCTGCCCTACTGTCTGTCGCGCGCCCCGTGGCGTGCGATGTACATTTTTTCTTCGGGGCGCGTGGCGGTTTTCTGCACGCCATGCGCTCGGGACGCGTGGCGGTTTCCTGCCCACCGCGCACCCTAGGCGCGCGCGGCGGTTTCGCGTTTCGTCGACACGCGCGCCTGTCCCTGTCAACCTGCGCGTGGCTCTCCGTCGCCCTTCGCGGCGGCCCCGTCGACCCGCGCGCTGTCAGGCATATATGCTATAGTCTGTGTAGGCTGTAGTGGGGCAGTTCATATGGGGTACAACACTTTAGGGTTTACTACTTGTACTCCTCATTCTGCTCAATGCATTCATCCCTCGTTTCTTATCATGGTATCGAGCAGGTTCCCTAGTGGGAACGATTCCTAGGGCCCACCACGATATTTTTTCCTGCCCGGAGCGCACTTTGCTCCTGCCCGAGTCGCGCTCTGTGTGCCCTCCCTACCGTCGCGCCCTCTCACGGCCCCTTCGCGTCGCCTTAAGCGGCCCCTCTCACGGCCCCTTACGCCGCCCTTACGGCCCCTCGCGCTGCCCTTTACGGCCCCTCGCGCTGCCCTCTACGGCGCCTCGCGCCGCCCTTAAGGCCCCTTACGGCCCCTCGCGACGCCCGTCGGCCCCCCTCGCGGCGCCCTTACGGCCCCTTACGGCCTCGTCGCCGCCCCGTCTAGGCCCCTTACGCCCCCATCGCCGCCCCGTATAGGCCCCTTACGGCCCCGTCGCCGCCCCGTCTGGGCCCCTTACGGCCCCGTCGCCGCCCCATCTAGGCCCCTTGTGGCCCCCTCTATGGCCCCGTCTAGGCCCCGTACGGCCCCTCTATGGCCCCGTCTAGGCCCCTTGCGGCCCCTCTGCAGCCCCGTCACCGCCACCTTCGGCCCCGCCGCCGCCGCCTGCGGCCCCGTTGCCGCCACCTGCGGCCCCGTTGCCGCCACCTGCGGCCCCGTTGCCGTCACCTGCGGCCCTGTCGCCCTCCCCTAGCGGCCCCGTCACCGCTCAGCCGCCCAGTGACCGAACCGCCGAGCAGCCAAGCAGCCGAGCCGCCCAGCAGCCGAGCCACCCAGCCGCCGAGCCGTCGGGCCGCCCAGCACCCGAGCTGCCCAACAGCCGAGCCGCCCAACAGCCGAGCTGCCCAGCAGCCGAGCTGCCGAGCCGCCGAACGCCCTACTGTCGAGCCGCTGCTGTTCCTGCTGGTGCGCCCCGGCTCTACTTACTCGGACTGGTGAGATCATTCCCTACTAGGCCACTGCAGTCATGGCTACCCCCAGTGTCCTTACCTTTGATGCTGAGGGCCGTGCCGTTGACTTTGAGGCCAGGGTCGATGATCTCCAGGTATTTCTACAGTGCGATAGGGCAGACAGACTCTCTCTATTTGATCTCACCTCTGGTGTTTCTCCCACCCCACCTGCGATTGCTGACAGCACTGTTCGCTCACACTGGGCCACACGCGATGCTGCTGCTCGCCTTGTTGTGCGTCGCCACTTACCAACCGCTGAGCGTGCGCACTTTAGCCAATACAAGAGTGCTAAGACCTTGTACGACGCTGTAGTTGCACGCTACTCCTCCCCTGCCACTGCTGCTCTTAGTCGCCTCATGCTGCCGTACCTGTTCCTGCTGCTTTTCCCACAGTCGCTAACCTTATCACTCACCTTTGCACTAGTGACATTCACTACCGCGCTGCGCTTCCTACTGAGTTCTGTGCCAAGAACCCCCCCCCCCATGTACATCACCCTCTACTACATAGTCACCCGCCTCCCTGACTCCCTTCGCTTAGTCAGGGACCACTTCCTCTCAGTTTGCCCCACCACACTCACCGTCGACCTCCTCGAGGAGCGCCTCCTAGCAGCAGAGAAGAGCATATTCGCTGTAGGAGCCTCTCGTGGTGACCCTCGCACCCCCGTCTTTGAGGGGTGTTCCCCCTCCCCCCTCTTGCCCACTGTTGCTTCTGTTGCTGCGGCCGACCTTGTTGGTTTTGAGTCGGTCGGCGCTGCGTCTGCCCCGGGCTGGAGACGCCACACCGGCAAGGGCAAGGGGGGCAAGGGCGCTGGAGGGGCTAGCGGGGGCAGTGGAGGTGGTGGTGGAGGCAGTGGAGGGGGTGGGGGTGGTGGTGGTAGTGGTGGCGGGGGTGGAGGTGTCGGTGGCAGCAGTGGAGGCGGAGGAGGCGGCGGCGGTGGCGGAGGGAGTGGTGGAGGCGGCGGAGGTGGCAGAGACGGCGGAGGTGGCGGAGGCGGCGGCGGCAGCAGTGGACCTAGTCGCGGCTCTGCGCAGAGGAGTGGCTCCGCTGGTGGTCCGCGCCAGAAGCAGCGGAGTGGTGTGACTCTGTCCCCTCAGCAACTTCGTGAGTGGTACGCTGCGCGTCAGCGCGGTGGGGGTACTGGTCCCTGCACCTACGTTCTCCGTACCGGCGACCCCGCTGGTGAGCAGTACGGGGGCCTGCACTCCACCCAGCGCTGCTTTGGCCGCCTAACGGACGCGTGGCGGCACCAGTTCCCAGAGGCCTCTGAGATCCCTCGCTGGGGAGAGTTGTCTAGGGCGCGCTGGTGAGTCTGCCCTCTCAAGTACCGCGTTGGCTCGGGCCTTACACACCTTCACCCTTGACTCGGGTGCTTCCCGCTCCTTCTTTCAAGACCGCACCACACTTACGTCGCTTAGTCGGCCGGTTGCGGTCTCCTTGGTGGACCCCTCTAGGGGTCCTGTCCTTGCTCACTTCTCCACTGTCTTACCATGTCCGGCAGCCCCCTCTGGCACCCTGTCAAGTCTCTACCTCCCCTCGTTCTCTGCGAACTTGGTGAGTGGAGCTGATCTACAGGATGGGGGGGTTGACCAGTTCACTCCTGTGAGACAGCGGGTGACCCACTTCATGTGTGCTCCGACAGGCCGACACTTGGCCACGTTCACCCGTTGGTCAGGGTCGAGCCTGTACACCCTCACTACTGAGTCTCCTCCGGCTGCTGAGCGTGGTCAGGTCGCTGCGTTGAGTCAGGTGTTTACTGCGGCGTCCAGGTCTAGTCCCTAGTCTGCTCCCTGCTCGTGTCGTCTCCTGTCTCACCAGACTCTCCTTTGACACCACCGCCTTGGTCACCCCTCTCTGCCTCGTCTCCGAGCCATGGCCTCTCGTGTCCTTGTCTCTGGTCTCCCCCGGTCTCTCCCTCCCCTACCTCTGGGGCCTGCCCCTACATGCTTTCCATGCGTCAAGGGGCGACAGCGCGCCGCCCCTCACTCCTCCGAGTTTCCTCCGACGGAGGCTCCCCGCCCGCGTCCGTGGACAGGGGCACGAGCGTTACTTCCTGTTGGTGGTTGACGACTACTTGCGTTACACCACGGTCTTCCCCTTGCGCAGCAAGGGCGACGTCACTGAGTTGTTGATTAACTAGATCCGCGCAGCTAGTCTCCAGCTCAGAGAGAGTTTCGGCTCCGACTTTCCTATTCTGCATCTTCACTCTGACAAAGGCGGGGAGTTTTCCTCTGCCCGTCTGGGAGCCTTCTGTCGGGCACAAGGCATTGGCTAGACCTTCACGCTTCCGGCCTCTCCACAGCAAAATGGGATTGCTGAGCGCCGCATTGGTATGGTCATGGACGTCGCTCGTACGTCCATGATCCATGCGGCTGCCCCCGATTTTCTGTGGCCGTTTGCGGTTCCGTATGCGGCGCATCAGCTCAACCTTCAGCCCCGGGTCTCCTTGCCAGAGACCTCCCCCACCTTGCGGTGGACGGGGAAGGTTGGCGATGCGTCTGCGTTTCGGGTCTAGGGATCTCGGGCGTTTGTTCGCGACTTGTCTGTGGACAAGCTGTCTCCCTGTGCTGTTCCCTGCGTCTTCCTTGGCTTCCCCCCTGACGCGCCCGCTTGGCAGTTTTACCACCCCACCTCGCGCCGTATTCTGTCCTCCCAGGACGTCAACTTTGACGAGTCAATGCCTTACTACCGTCTCTTCCCCTACCGCGCTGCGCCCCTTCCCCCGTCGCCGCTCTTCCTTGTGCCAGGTCCACCCTCGGTAGACCCCCTCACCTCTCGGGGTCCTGGCCCGTCAGGTGTGTCCGAGGTAGACGCAGTCGAGCCTGTCGAGGTAGTTGTTGACTCTGGTGCTGCTAGAGGTGCTGAGCCTGCGGGTGCCGGGTCTGGAGGTGTTGAGCCTGCGGGTGCTGAGTCTGGGGGTGCTGAGCCTGGGGGTGCTGAGCCTGGGGGTGCTGAGTCAGAGGGTGCGGAGCCTTGGGGTGCGGAGCTTGGGGGCGCTATGTCTGCTCGTGTGGCCGCCGGCGGTGCTTCGTCGAGGGGGGAGCCACTCTCTCCGTAGGAGCTGCGCGAGTGGTTTGCCCGGCGCTGGAGCCGTGCTGCTGGAACTGGAGGCACTACTATTGCTGTTGGTTTAGAAGGTGCTCGTACTGGCGGTACTGGAGCTGGTGGGACTTGGGGTGCTGCTGGAGCTGCTGGAGTTGGTCCTGCTCGAACTGCTGGCGGTGCTGGAGCTGCTGGAGCTCGAGCTACTAGGGGTGTTGGCGCTGGTGTTTCTGCTGGCGCTGGTGCGTCTGAGGGTTCTGGAGTTGGCGCTGTTGGAGTTGGAGGTGCTGCTGGCGCTGGTGCTGCTGCTAGGGGTATTGGTGTCGTCCCTGCTGGTTCTGGAGGCGCTACGCGGCCGAGGCCGTACTTCGTTCCGCTCCTTGAGCAGGTTCTTGGTCTCCCGCCCTCTACTGGTCCTGGTCCTCCCTTAGAGTGTCCACTGCCCGTCCAGTCGCAGTCAGAGTTACAGCCCGCATCCCCTCTTCTTGCTACTTCTCCCTACACTTGTCCTACTGGAGGTCTTGCTGAGCGTCGTGAGCGTGCGTCACGTCCTGCGTCGCCTGTTCGCACTGCTCGCACTAGTCGTCGTGTTCCGCGTCCGCGTCCTTCTGCGGTTCCAAGCACACACCAGATGGCAGTGCGTCCTTCCACTGCTCCCCTTCGTGTCCCGCTGCCGTCTCCTCTAGAGTCCTCTCTTCCTATCCTTCCTGACCCTGAGTCTGACTCTCTTCGTGCTGCCAGTCCTACTGTCACGCGTCTCCTGGCCACTGTTGTCACTGACCCTTCCTTTGAGTCCACTACTGCGTCGCCTTGGTTGCCGAGCTTGTTGACTTTGCTGCGCGCTGTCGTCTAGACTACACCACTAGTCTCGTTGCTGAGTCTGAGTCTGTCTGTCCTCCGTCCGTTAGGGGTGGGTGTGCTCTTAGCATGGACGTCCTTAAGGACAGGCAGGAGGAGTTCCAGTGCTTTGCTGCTGCTTTGCCTCATCTCGTGTCCACGCTGATTGCCCCTGAGGGAGACCCGGATGCACCAGACATCCCGACTACTCAATCGTACGCTGAGGCGATCGAGGGTCCCTACTCCTCTCAGTGGCAGTCAGCCATGGACGCAGAGATGGCTTCCTGGAAGTCCACAGGCACCTACGTCGACGAGGTTCCCCCACCTAGGGCGAACATCGTCAGTGGCATGTGGATTTTCAGGGTGAAGCGGTCGCCGGGTTCTCCGCCTGTCTCAAGGCGTGTTACGTGGCTCGAGGCATCAGTCAGCGGCAGGGAGTTGACTACTTTCAGACCTTCTCTCCCACCCCGAAGATGACCACTCTTTGGATGCTGCTGCACATAGCCGCTCAGCGTGACTACGAGCTTCACTCTCTTGACTTCAGCACAACTTTCCTGCAGGGCAGCCTGCACGAGGAGATCTGGGTGCGCCGTCCACTTGGCTTCACCGGGTCGTTTCCTCGTGGTACCCAGTGGAGCCTCAAGCGGCCAGTCTACGGTCTCTGCAAGGCGCCACGTGAGTGGCAAGACACATTGAGCACTACACTTGCGGCTCTTGGGTTTGCTCCTTCTACTGCCTACCCGTCACTGTTTCTACGCACCGACACCTCTTTGCTGCCATTCTACTTCCTCGTGTACGTCGACGACTTGGTCTTTGCTACTGCTGACACTGCTGGACTCGCCCACGTGAAGTCCGAGCTGCAGAAGAGACACACGTGCACAGACCTCGGTGAACTACGTAGCTACCTTGGCTTGCAGATCACCCGGGACAGAGCACAGCGCACCCTTACCCTGACTCAGTCACACATGGTGCAGCAGGTCCTTCAGCGCTTCGACTTCACGTACTCCTTGCCTCAGGCCACTCCTCTGTCTACTCTCCACTTGCTCTCAGCTCTGCCTTCGGATGAGTTCGTAGAGCCGAGTGGCCCATACCCAGAGCTTGTTGGCTGCCTCATGTACCTGATGACCTGCACACGACCTGACCTTGCATACCCTCTTAGCATCTTGGCACGCTAAGTTGCTCCTGGGAGACAGCGACCAGAGCACATGGCTGCAGCAAAGAGGGTGTTGCGCTACTTGTGCAGTACGTCAAGCATGGGGCTAGTGCATGGAGGGCGACGTCGAGTGGTCCTCACAGGTCACACAGACGCTTCTTGGGCTGACGACCAGCCGACACAGCGGTCGTCACAGGGTTACACTTTCAGCCTTGGCTCCGACTCTGTTTCGTGGTGGTCTACCCGCTCATCTTCTGTTCTCACCTCGAGCTGTGAGGCTGAGATCTACGCGGGGGCCATGGCTGCACAGAAGCTACGCTAGCTCACCTACCTGCTGACTGACCTAGGAGAGCCGCCTCATTCTCCTCCAGTTCTATACGTAGACAACAAGGCCATGCTGGCCGTGTGTCGGGAGCACAGACTGGAGCACAGAACGAAGCACATTGCTCTTCGCTACTTCCTGGCTCGTGAGCTGCAGCAGCGTGGTCAGCTCCGCCTCACCTACGTGGCCTCTGAGGCCAACACTGCTGATATCTTTACCAAGGCCCTTCCGCCTTGTGATCATCAGGGCTTGTGTGCTATGCTAGGTCTTGTGCCTACTTGGCCTCACTTGCTCACTTCTTGACCTTGTTTGTACTGTACTCTTTCTATACCTACACTTGCTTGATTACTTTTATATATATGATCTTGCATGTGAGCTGGCCTTGTGGCCTTGCTCTTGTGCTCGGACTGTGTGGTGACATTGTGATCCACCGTGAGCTTGCTTTGCTTTGCTTGACTGGTCTTGTGACCCCTTGTTCTCCCCCACTTTGCCTATGGGGGTGTGTCAGGCATATATGCTATAGTCCGTGTAGGCTCTAGTGGGGCAGTTCATATGGGGTACATCTCTTTAGGGCTTACTACTTGTACTCCTCATTCTGCTCAATGCATTCATCCCTCGTTTCTTATCACGCGCGGCTCCCCGTCTCCCTTCGCGGCAGCCCCGTCGATCCGCGCGCAGCTCCCCGTCCTCCTTCACGGCGGCCCCGTCGACCCGCGCGCGGCTCTTCATCGCCCTTCGCGGCGGCCTCGTCGACCCGCGCGCCGCCCCTGGGGACCCGTGCGCCCGTCCCCGTCAACCCGCGCGTCGCCCTGCGCCCCCCCCCTCTACGCACACCTGAGTCTGCTTACCGCACACCCGAGTTCGCTTCCCGCATGCTTGTGCACTCTCCGCGCACACATGAGCTCGCTTACCGCACACTCAGGGTATGGGGGTGACGGGTATGGGGGTGGCGGGTGTGTGAGCCGTTCCCTGCTCCTCCTCCTCCTCCGTCTCGCACTGCTGCAGCTGCCGCTAAGGGGGGTGGGTGTGTGGGAGCCGAAGGAGTGGTGCTAGTGGGGTGACAAGGGAGTGGAACTAGGGGTGCTGCAGGGGGTGTGTGAAAGGGGGGGTGGTACAGTTGGGAGAAGTTTCGTGGAGGCTGCCGTCATGTTGCCTGCAGCGCCAGTAGTCCGGAGCCTGTCTTGCTCTCGGTAGCCCAGCGAGCCTGTTGTGCCTGTCGCCCGTGGGTCCGTTGCTCCTGCCGCTCGTCGTAGCCGCGGAGCGAGTTACTCCTGTAGTCCGGAGCCTGTCTTGCTCTCGGTAGCCACTGTGCCAGCCGCTCCTGTTGCCCGTGTGTCTGCAGCTTCAGCTGTTGCCTCCCATCTCCTCTCCTCTCACAGTCCAGCCTCCTCCTCCTCACGTGCCCGTTGTGAATGCCTCTAGCTGTGCTTGCCCTTGTGAACCTGCTCTATGACTGCTTGCTTTGCTGATTATACCCCAGTTTGACTATGGGGGTGTGTCAAAATGTCTAGTTTATCTAGCCTGCATTGGGGTACTCTGTAGTGAGTATGACCCCTTAGGGTTTCCTAAATGTATCCACCTGCTTGCTAGTGAACCTCCTCCTTTGCCTAATTCTCTGTTGCCTAGCTAGGTAAACCCTCGCTATGGCTCCTCGTTCCTTACTATTTTGAAAGCTAGATGTATTCTTCGTGTTCGCCCAAACTCCCCGAACCAACTCGAAGGGCTTGGGAAACCAACTCAAAGGGCTTGGGAAAGTTGGACCAGTCGATTGCTACTTGACAAAAGGATTGGAAACCAATCTCAAATCTGGGGAAAATGCCTAGAGTAAAAAACTCTTTGCCAACGAGTGGTTTCCAACTTGGTATCCATACCTATCAAATTGACAGAGAGGTGCTTGGGGTAAAACATGACAGGCGGATGGGTGGTAAGGCATGGAGGCAAAAAAATGCAAGGCATGCTAATAGGAGTTGCAAGGAGGAAAACATGATTGGCAAGAGGGTGGTGAAACATGGAGGCAAATTTGTTCAAGGCATGCTATTAGGAGGTGCATGGGGGAAAACATTACAAGCAGGAAGGTGGTGCGGCATGGAAGCAAATAGGTGCAAGGCAAGGTAATAGGAAGCCATCATATCAGGCAAAAATTTTCTGCAGCTGTTCTTGTAGAGCATGATGGAAGGAACCACCTCACCTTCGCCCTAACATTACATCGATTTTATGCATATGATGAGAAAGGAGATTGCTTAGATAGCCTAGACGAAGGAAACTAGTGCCATTAATCTGACACACCTAAAAGCACATGCTGCAACCATGCATTGCCATAGCTGTGCATTATGCTGCCATGTGCTGGTTCAGATTTTCTCCAATGATGCAAACTTCTGTGCGTTTGGCAAATTCTTTCAATGTTATGTCATTGTTGTTGTTGTTGTTGTTGTTGTTGTTGTTGTTGTTGTTGTTGTTGTTGTTGTTGTTGTTGTTGTTGTTGTTGTTGTTGCTGTTGTTGTTGTTGTTGTTGTTGTTGTTGTTGTTGTTGTTGTTGTTGTTGTTGTTGTTGTTGTTGTTGTTGTTGTTGTTGTTGTTGTTGTTGTTGTTGTTGTTGTTGTTGTTGTTGTTGTTGTTGTTGTTGTTGTTGTTGTTGTTGTTGTTGTTGTTGTTGTTGTTGTTGTTGTTGCCGTCGTCGTCGTCATCGTCGTCGTCGTCGTTGTCGTCGTTGTTGTCGTCGTTGTTGTTGTCGTTGTTGTCGTGGTTGTTGTCGTGGCTGCTGTCGTGGCTGCTGTTAAAGTTTTTTTCTTATTTTTTATAATGTTTGATAAATTATTGATGCTCTGTCAGAACCAACCTCTTGATGGTATGTGTAACACCTAATTGTGACAAATCTGGGCAAACGTTTGTGTTTTTGCAGCTCCGCTCACATCACCCATGTATCAAGTACTCGGAGGCCTTGCTGGGAGCGTTGAATGTCATGTAATGAGCGTCATTTCATCCTTTCCCTTGTGATCACGAGGAGGCATTATGTTTTCATGTGGTGTTGCTTTGGTTATCACGCTTGCCTTGTTTTGTTTTTGTTCGGGCAGCCCCCTGGTTGGGAACAACAGGGGAGCAGCAGAGAAGGTGAGTGTGCCATGGATGGCTCTCTTGTACGAGTGAGGTGCTTCCACCAGCTCCCACTCCTAATGGAACCTCAACTGCGCCAGCAAGAGCCACGTGAGGCCAACACTGCTGCTCCTGGCGCTCCAAGTGGCAGAACCAGCAGCAGTGCAGCAGCAAAGATCCACGGGCGCCACTCCTGTGCCAGCGTGATGTGCTGATGGCAAATTGGTTTACCAAAGGAGCATTTTCAACCCACATCTGCACCCACCAGATTCAGCCCCTGCTACCCCTCTCCCGTCCTCCTCTCTCCCATGTCATCGCGTCTCCTTAACCCTCTCACCTTTCCTGCACCCCTCACAATCCCTTCCGTCTCCCCTGAACCTGGTGGGCAACCGAACGGCAATAATTGTGCTGCACACATTCGATGTGCACAGCACCACGGTGGGTGAGCTGGCAGTCACCAGTTGGCAGTCACCACCTGGCAGTCACCAGCTGGCAGTCACCTGCTGGCAGTCACCAACTGGCAATCACCAGCTCGCCGTCACCTGCTAGCAGTCACCAACCCAGGCAGTGATTTTGCTCCACCCTAACGACTACATGAATGGGGAGATTCTCAAAGCTTTAGATGCCGCCATGAGGTAAGCTCACACTCCGTGCTTTCCCTCTTTGCTTTCCCTCCCTGCTTGCCCTTCCTGCTTGCCCTCCCTGCTTTCCCTCCCTGCTAGCCCTCTTTCCCTCCCTGCTAGCCCTCTTTCCCTCCATGATATCCCTCTTTCCCTCCCTGATAGCCCTCTTTCCCTCCCTGCTAGCCCTCTTTCCCTCCCTGATAGTCCTCTTTCCCTCCCTGATAGCCCTCTTTCCCTCCCTGCTAGCCCTTTTTCCCTCCCTGATAGCCCTCTTTCCCTCCATGATAGCCCTCTCTCCCTCCCTGCTAGCCCTCTTTCCCTCCCTGATAGCCCTCTTTCCCTCCCTGATAGCCCTCTTTCCCTCCCTGATAGCCCTCTTTCCCTACCTGCTAGCCCTCTTTCCCTCCCTGCTAGCCCTCTTTCCCTCCTTGCTAGCCCTCTTTTTCTCCTTGCTAGCCCTTTTTCCCTCCCTGCTAGCCCTCTTTCCCTCCCTGCTAGCCTCTTTCCTTCCCTACTAGCCCTCCCTGCTTGCCCTCCCTTCTTGCCCTTCCTGCATGCCCTCTCTGCTTTCCCTCCCTGTTTGCCCTTCCCTGCTTGCCTCCCTGCTTGCCTTCCCTGTTTGCCCTCCTTGCTTGCCCTCCCTAATTGCCCTCTCCTCCCTTCTTTCCCTCCCTGCTCGCCCTCCCTGCTCGCACTCCCTGCTCGCCCTCCCTGTTTGCCCTCCCTGCTTGTCCTCCCTTCTTGCCTTCCCTGCTTGCCTTCTCTGCTTGCCTTCTCTGCTTGCCTTCCCGGTGTGCCCTCTGCAGCATGGTATGGTGGCATGTTGCACCACCCCAGTGCTCAACCTAAGTGTTCAACCCCAGTGCTCAACCCCAGTGCTCAACCCCATTGCTCAACCCCAGTGCTCAACTCCACCGCAACCCCAGCGCAACAAGCGCAACCCCAGCGCAACCCTAGCGTAACCCCAGTGCAACCCCAGTGCGCAACCCCGGTGAAACCAACCCCAGTGCAACCCTGGTGCGCAACCCAGCAAGACATCTTCCCGTGAACATCTCCGAGTTGCAGGAGGTTTTTGGAATGGTGCTGTTCAGCTAAGAGCCTCAATCTCATTCAAGTTAAATCAGCCACAGCTACTGTCAAAGTACATGCATGATATATATGTGTAGGCTGTAGAGGGGTAGCCGATATGTCAAAGTACATGCATGCCAAAAAAACGTCTAACCTATCAGAGCGAGTGAAGACTTTGAACAATTGCTACTTGTTCAGCAAATTTCAATTCATGTCCATAGCACACGGCGAAAGTGAAATCTGATGAACACATGACAAGGGAAAAAAATATAACAATAAAAAATAAAACAATAGCACAAGTAGTAACTTTTTCATCCACAGGATTGACTAGGGTATGGATAAGGGTGTCAAACATATATTTCCATGTACTGGGCTGTAATGAGGCATGCTATAGAGAGTATAGCTCATGTTAGGGTTGTATTTGTGTCACCCTCCTTTCCTAGTCGTCCTTTCCGCTTAGTATCTCTTGAGAAAGGGAGTATTACTTACAGGGGTCGACAGGGAAGGGGCGAACCGAGTCTTGTGTCATTTCGAGAATGTCTGCTGGACCTGTGAGAGAGGCAGCGGGAGAGGGACAGGGGAGGAAAAGGCACATGCGCAGGACAGAGGGGAAGAGGGACATGGGGAAAAGAGGGACGGAGGGGGTAGAGGTACAAGTGAAGGGAGAGGGACAGGGGGAGGGAGAATAGAAAGAACAACTGAAAAAGATGGAAGAAGGGAGGCCAGGAAGAACTGAACGAGACAACACACCATGGGAATTGAGACTGAGATGAAGAGCAGTAATAGAGAAATACGGACTGCACAGGACGCAAATCAACGAGCAGTGTCAACTACTGAAATCAAATGTGAGAATACACTGCAGATGCATAACCAAATCCCATGTGCACATGCAAGAGCTGGAACTAGATCAAACAGCATCAATGCTTCATGGCATGGTGCTACCATGAAGGTAGCGGAGTGCTGATTTGCATGAAATCTGCCATCATCATCTAGGCGCATAAATATCTGCCATAAAGGTAGCTGAATGTGCATCCACAGAGGAAGCTGAGGTGGCCACGGTGGACTGACTGACCTATGGGGCGGACTGATTGACCCATTGGGGGGGACTGACTGACCCATTGGGGGGGACCTCATTGAGCCCGTTGGAGTGCACCACCAGCACTCTGCAGATGCCCAGGCGTGCGAGGTAATGAGGTCCACCTGGTCGGCCCAATCATGTGCAGACAGGTGCAGAGGGATGCAGAGAAGTGCAGAGGGGTGAACAGAGGTGCAAGGGTTGCTGAAGAAAGATTCAATTCAGTTGCGTTTGGATGGCCTTTTTGATTCAGAGAGGCAGAAATACCATAGAAAACCCATTCATGTAGCATGTAAAGTCACACACATGGTGTGTGTCGCATCATGGTGTGTCGCATGGTGTGCGTCGCATGGTGTGCGAATGATAGTGTGAAGAGTCTTCTGTCATAAAAAAGTGAATACATCTTCAGGTGTGCCAAAAAAGCTAGAGACCCTTAACACCAATAAGGTTATCTTTCACTATGCAAAATTGCATGTTTGTTGTGAAAACGAGTGACGTTTATTATTACTGCTTTCTACATTTGAAATGTCTGCAAATGCCAAGACCTCCCTGGAGACACCTATTGTGGGGCTTTGGTCATTGAAAATGAGCAACACGCTCCTCCAGTCCAGTCTCTTCCCAACTCTCCTTCCTCCTCCCTTATGTATTTGCAGGCAACTTTCTGTTTTTCCCATTACGTTACTAACTACCATGTTGAATGCCTTCAATATCCGCCAACTCCAAGCTGAAATCAACCTGCTCGGAGCTCTCAATCTCGTGGTCGATGCGGGCAGCCATGCGGTCCTCGTCCTCCCCATAGAACTCCTCCTTGAGCAGCAGCAGCTCTGCCAGCACACGGCTCATGCCCGGGCGAGACGCCGTGGGCATGGCGGTACAGGTGAGCGCCAGGCGTGCCATGCACAGCACCAGATCGTCCGGTGCTTGCAGGTGCGGGTCCTTGAGGGCCGCCACGTCCCCTACTGCCACAAGGGATGCTGCCTGCCAGTGATGATTAAGGGGAGACAAGGGAGGGAGGAGAGGAAGGGAGATCGAAGATTTGTGGCCAAGAGGTAAAGAGGTATAGAAAGGAGGAATCATCTTGTGAAAAGGGGTAGAGGGCGCTGCTGCGATGGTGGTGGTTGTTGTTTCCACACGCACCCACTTCTTGAATTTGACTTGGTTTAACTCGATGTTGTAGATGGCCTTACGGCCGTGATCACCGCCAGCATCACTACTCCAAAGCTGCAGGCAGGTGGGAATTACGGCAGCGATGACGGCCGCAGAGAAGAAAAACATCAGGCAGCAGGGTAAGGGAACAAGGCAGACAGTAGGGTAAGGGAACAAGGCAATCATCAGGGTAAAGGAACAAGGCAGTCAGCAGGGAAGGGGAGCAAAGCAGGCAGCGTGGTTAGGACGCGGTGAAAGTAGACAATCGATTGTCAGTCACTATCAATATGCATATAAATAACCCTATTAACTACGATGTAACCATGCTACAGTACACTTTTTGGCCAAAATCTTTGTGCAGTGTGTGAATGCGAGTGATCTCTGATAGCAGGAGATCTGTCAATTCTCATTTGCGATTGCTACAACGTTACGGTCACCATGTTTCGTCAATCCATCTGCCCACTCGATTGTGGGGCTCGATATTTGCAGACAATCGTGCGATATTTGCACTTTCACCGCGTCCTAAGAAAACAAGGCAGTCAGCCTTGAGAGTATCTTAATGAGAGTGGTAATAAGCAGGATCCACGCAGCCTCGTGTGCCCATGACGGAGTAATTTCTGGAATCCTAAGACGGAGTAATTTCAGGAATCCTAAGACGGAGTAATTTCTGGAATCCTAAGACGGAGTATGTTATGGAATCCTAAGATGGAGTATGTGTGAGAATAAGCGAACAGGAATGAATGAACTAGCAGTGAAATGAGTACAAGTAGGAAACCCTAGAATTGTGTACCCCCTATAGGCTAACCCACTGTAGCCTACACAAGCAGAACATATATAATGTTTGACACACCCCCATAGGCAAAGTGGGGGAGAACAAGGGGTCACAAGACCAGTCAAGCAAAGCAAAGCAAGCTCAGGGTGGATCACAAAGTCACCACACAGTCCGAGCACAAGAGCAGGGCCAGAGGCCAGTTCACATGCAGGAGTACAGACATATATATAAAACTAGACAAGCAAGAGCAGGTATATATATATGTCACAGTACAAGTGAAGTCAAGAGGAGAGCAAGTGAGGCAAGACAGGTACAAGACCCAGCTGGGTGCAAAAGCGCTGATGGTCACAAGGCGCGAGTGCCTTGGTGAACACATCAGCAGTGTTGGCCTCAGAGGCCACGTACGCAAGTCGCAACTGACCACGCTGCTGCAGCTCACGAGCAAGGAAGTAGCGGAGAGCAATGTGCTTCGTTCTGTGCTCCAAGCGCTACTCTCAACACAAGGCCAGCATGGCCTTGTTGTCTACGTACAGCACTGGAGGAGAACGAGGTGGCTCTCCAAGGTCAGTCAGCAGGTAGGTGAGCCAGCGAAGCTCCTGTGCAGCCATGGCCCCGGCGTAGATCTCAGCCTCACAACTGGAGCCGAGAACCAAAGACGAGCGAGTAGACCGCCACGAGACAGAGCCGGAACCAAGGCTGAAGGTGTAACCCTGTGACGACCGCTGCGTAGCCTGGTCGTCAGCCCAAGAAGCGTCCGCGTGGCCGGTAAGGACCACTGGACTCCGCCCTCCAAGCACTAGCCCCATGCCCGACGTACTGCACAGGTAGCGCAATACCCTCTTCGCTGCAGCCATGTGCTCTGGTCTGTGTCTCCCAGGAGCAACATAGCGTGCAAGAATGCTCAGAAGGTATGCAAGGTCAGGTCGTGTGCAGGTCATCAGGTACATGAGGCAGCCAACAAGCTCTGCATACGGACCACTCGACTCTACGGACTCATCCGAAGGCAGAGCTGAGAGTGAGTGGCGAGTAGGCAGAGGAGTGGCCTGAGGCGAGGAGTACGTGAAGCCAAAGCGCTGAAGGACCTGCTGCACCATGTGTGACTGAGTCAAGGTAATGGTGCGGCGTGCTCTGTCCCGAGTGATCTGCAAGCCAAGGTAGCTGCGCAGTTCACCCAGGTCTGTGCACGTGTGTCTCTTCAGCAGTTCGGACTTCACGTAGGCGAGTCCAGCAGTGTCAGCTGTGGCAAAGACCAAGTCGTCGACGTACACGAGGATGTAGAACGGCGGCAGTGAAGTGTCGGTGCGCAGAAACAGCGACGGGTCAGCAGTAGAAGGAGCAAACCCAAGAGCCGCAAGCGTAGTCCTCAGTGTGTCGTGCCACTCACGCGGTGCCTGGCGGAGACCGTAGACTGGCCGTCGGAGGCTCCACTGGGTGCCAGGAGGGAAAGTCCCAGTGAAGCCAGGTGGACGGCGCAGCCAGATCTCCTCGTGCAGGCTACCCTGCAGGAACGCAGTGCTGAAGTCGAGAGAGTGAAGCTCATAGTCGCGCTGAGCGGCTATGTGCAGCAGCACCCGAAGAGTGGTCATCTTCGGGGTGGGAGAGAAGGTCTGAAAGTAGTCAACTCCCTGCCGCTGACTGAAGCCACGAGCAACGTACCGTGCCTTGAAGACAGGTGGAGAGCCCGGCGGCCGCTTCACCCTGAAGATCCACATGCCACTGACGATGTTCGCCCCAGGAGGGGGAACCGCGTCAACGTAGGTGCCTGTGGACTTCCAGGAAGCCATCTCTGCATCCATAGCTGCCTGCCACTGAGAGGAGTAGGGACCCTCTACGGCCTCCGCGTAAGAACGCGGAGTCGGGATGTCTAGTGCATCCGGGTCTCCCTCAGGGGCAAGCAGTACAGACGCGAGATGAGGTGAAGCAGCCGCTAGACACTGTAACTCCTCCTGCCTGTCCTCTAGGACGTCCGTGCCAAGAGCACACTCACCCCCGACGGACGGAGGACAGACAGACGCAGACTCAGCAACAAGACTAGCAGCGTAGTCGAGACGACAGCGAGCAGCAAAGTCAACGAGCTCAGCGACTAGAGCAGACGCAGCAGTGGACTCAAAAGAGGGGTCAGTGACGACAGTAGCAAGCAGACGCGTGACTGTAGGACTGGCAGCGCGAAGAGAGTCCGACTCAGGGTCGGCAAGCGCAGGAAGAGATGACTCAGGAGGAGAAGGCAAAGGGGCACGCAGAGGAGCAGTGGACGGACGCAGAGACATCCGGTGCGTGCCAGGGACAGGAGGAGGACGCTGACGCGAACCGCGACCACTAGCGCGACCAGCACGAACCGGCGACGCGGGACGAGACGCAGGCTCACGACGCTCAGCAAGACCTCCAGTAGGACCAGTGTAAGGAGAGGGAGCAGGCAGAGGAGAGGAAGGCTCCAACAGTGACTGCGACTGGACAGGCTGTGGACACTCTACCGAAGGAGAAAGACCAAGAACCTGCTGTAGGAGCGGAACGAAGTACGGCCGAGGCCGCGCGGCAGCTCCAGACTCAGCAGGGACAGCACCAGCACCCTCAGCGACAGCACCAGCGCCACCAACACCTCCAGCGGCAGGACCTCCAGCAGCACCAGCAGCAGAACCACCGCCAGGACAGACAGCAGTAGTCTCAGCACCAACACCCTCAGCAGCTCCAGCTCCAGTAGGACCCGCAGGCCCAGCAGCTCCAGACTCAGCACCCCCAGACTCAGTAGCTCCAGCTCCAGTAGGACTCGCAGGCCCAGCAGCTCCGGGACCGGCAGCACCCTCAGCAGGCGAAGAAGCTCCAGCTCCAGCAGCACGCCTCCAGCGGCGAGCAAACCACTCGCGCAGCTCCTGTGGAGAGAGCGGCTCCCGCCGAGACGGAAGAACCGGAGAGCCCCCAGGTCCAGCAGGCGCAGGCTCCGCACCTCCAGGCCCAGCACCCCCAGGCTCAGCAGCTCCTGACGTAGCACCCTCCGGCTCAGCACCCCCCGGCTCAACACCCCCAGACTCAGCACCCCCCGGCCTCGCACCCCCAGGCTCAGCACCCCCAGGCTCAGCACCCGCAGCAGGACCAGACTCAGCAGCAACCTCGACAGGCTCGACCGTGTCTACCTGGGACACACCTGAAGGGGCAGGAACCTGAGGGGTGAGGGGGTCTACCGGGGGGGGAACTGGTACCAGGAAGTCCGGTGGGGGGGGGAGGGAAGGAGTACGGTAGGGGAAGAGGCGGTAGAAGGGGACTGACTCGTCAAACGTGACGTCCTGGGAGGACAGAACACGACAAGAGGAGGGGTGGTAGAACTGCCACCCTGGAGCGTCAGGGGGGAAGCCAAGGAAGACACAGGGAGCAGCACGGGGGGACAGCTTGTCCGTAGACAAGTCGCGGACAAACGCCCGAGATCCCCAGACACGGAACGCAGACGCATCGTCGACCTTCCCCGTCCACTGTAACACTTGGGACATCGCGGGCCGAGAGACCCTGGGGTGAAGGTTGAGCTGATGCGCCGCGTACCGAACCGCAAACGGCCACAGAAAATGGGGGGCAGCCGCATGCATCATGGACGTACGAGCGACATCCATGACCATGCCAATGCGGCGCTCAGCAATCCCATTTTGCTGTGGAGAGTCCGGAAGCGTAAAGGTCTGGCGGATCCCCTGTGCACGACAGTAGTCTCGCAGAAGGCAAGAGGAGAACTCCCCACCTCGGTCAGAGTGCAGACGCAGAACAGGAAAGTCCGAGCCGAAGCTCCTCCTGAGCTGGAGACGAGCCTCGCGGATCCAGTCGATCAGCACCTCAGTGACAGCACCCTTGCTGCGCAAGGGGAAGACTGAGGTGTAACGCGAGTAGTCGTCAACCACCAACAGGAAGTAGCGCTCGTGACCCTGCCCACGGACGGGGGCCGGGCCCCACACGTCCATGTGAAGCGTCTGCAGAGGAGCCTCTGTCGGGGGAAACTGGGAGGAGTGAGGAGCAGCCCTGAGGCGCCCCTCGACACAGGGGACACAGGAAGGTCCTGGTCCCGAAGGAAGGGGAGGGAGAGACTGGGGAAGACCAGAGACAAGGACACGGGAAGCCATGCCCCGAAGACGGGGCAAGGAGGGGTGGCCTAGACGGTGGTGCCACAGAAGAGTCTCGTGAGACAGGAGGCGACACGAACAGGGGGCAGACTCAGGACCAGACCTGGAAGCAGCAGCAAACACCTGACCCGACGCTGCTACCTGACCGGACGCGGGGACAGGAGGAGACTCAGTGGTCAGGGTGTAGAGGCTCGACCCCGGCCGACGCGAGAACGTGGCCAGGTGCCGGCCTGTGCGTGCGTCCGTGCAGTGGGTCACCCGCTGACTCGCAAGAGTGAACTGGTGAACCCCCGCATCCTGTAGGTCTGCACCACTCACCAAGTTCGTCGAGAACGAGGGGAGGTACAGGCCAGACAGGGTGCCCGAGAGGGCAGCCCGACACGGGAGGACAGTGGAGAAGTGAGCGAGGACAGGACCCCCAGAGGGGTCAGCCAGGGAGACAGCAACCGGCCGACCAAGCGGCGTGAGTGTGGTGCGGTCCCGAAAGAAGGAGCGAGAAGCCCCAGAGTCAAGTGTAAAGGTGAGGGAGGCCGAAGCCAACGCGGTACCTGAGAGCGCAGCCTCACCCGCACCTGAGGAAGCAGACTCACTAGCACCTAGAGCAGCAGCCGCACCTGTACCTGGAGCAGGAGACTCACTAGCACCCAGAGCAGCAGCCTCACCAGTAGCTAGAGCAGCAGGTCCTATACCTGGGTCAGGCGGGACGCACAGGTGACCGGCACGGTCAGCACTAGTAGGCAATGCATACATGGCAGTGAGAATAGCATCATAGTCAAGAGCATATATATCTACCCTCTGCCTAAGCAACTCCACCCAGTCGGGGAGCTCAGCCTCGTCGCCAAACACGGTACGCCAGGCGTCGCTCAGACGGGCGAAGCAGCGGGACGGTGTATGACTACGTGTCCCACAAGGCTGACCAGTCCGAGTACCAGTGAGAATCACGTAAGAGCAGCGAACAGCACTGAGAGACCCTCCACTCTGAGCGTACCACTCACGAAGCTGGCGAGGCGTGAGAGACACGCGAGAGGGTCGCGGGAGCTGCATCTGGCCGCCACCACGAGTAGAAGCAGCAGGAGTGGAAGTAGGAGTAGCGTCGCCACCCCTACAGCCCCAACCAGCGTACCACTCACGCAGCTGCTGGGGCGTGAGGGACTCACGCAGACGTCGCTGGGGCTGCATCTGGCTCCGCAAGTAGAAGCAGGAGCAGGACTAGCAGCAGGAAGGCAGGCAGCCAGGCAAGCCAAAAGGCAGGCAGGCAGGCAAGCAGGCGACGTGAGCGTGCTAGCAGGGCAAGAGCTCACCAGTGGTGGGAAGAGTAGGCTCGGCGACTCAGCGGCTCGGCAGCTCGGCGGCTCGGCAGCTCGGGCGACTCGGGCGGCTCGGCGGCAAGGCGGCTCGGCAGCAACTGCAGCTCAGCAGCTCGGTGACTCGGCGGCTCGGCGGCAGGGCGGCTCGGCAGCAACTGCAGCTCAGCAGCTCAGCGACCCGGCGGCTCGGCGGCAGGGCGGCTCGGCTGCTGGGCGGCTCGGGTGCAGGGCGGCTCGGCGGTGGGGCGGCTCGGCTGCTGCAGGTGAGCGATGAAGGAGGAGGAGAAGCAGGGGAGGCCACACACATGCCACCCCTCCGCAAGCGGCCCCCTCAGGTCGCCTCGACAGGCGACGGGAAAAGGGGGGGTGGGTGGTGGGGGTCGGTAGGTGCAGCGGCGGGGCCAGCAGGTGCAGTTGCGGGGCCGGTAGAAGGGGACGGCAGGAGCCGTCAGGAGGGGACGGCGGGGCCGTCAGGAAGGGACGGCGGGGCCGTCACGAAGGGACGGCGGGGCCGTCAGGAGGCGACCGGGCCGCGACGGGGGCAGGCGGCGGGGCCGCGTAAGGGCCTGGGCGGGGCCGCGACAGAGCCGTCGGCGGGGCCGCGTGAAAGCCGGGGCGGGGCCGCGTAGAAGCCGGGGCGAGGCCGCGCGAGAGCAGGCGGCGGGGCTGCGAAAGAGCCGGGGCGGGGCCGCGTGAGAGCAGGCGGCGGGGCCGCGTAAGGGCCTGGGCGGGGCCGCGACAAAGCCGTCGGCGGGGCCGCGTGAAAGCCGGGGCGGGGCCGCGTAGAAGCCGGGGCGGGGCCGCGCGAGAGCAGGCGGCGGGGCCGCGAAAGAGCCGGGGCGGGGCCGCGTGAGAGCAGGCGGCGGGGCCGCGTAAAGGCCGGGGCGGGGCCGCGACAGAGCCTGCTGCGGGGCCGCGTGAGAGCCGGCGATGGGGCCGCGTAAGGGCCGGCGGCGGGGCCCCGTCAGAGAGGGCGGCGGGGCCGCGTCAGTGAAAGCGGCGGGGCCGCAGGGAAAATGACGACCCGAGGGGTCGCTAAAAAAAAATCGCGCCTCGGGGGGCGCTTCGGTGGGCCCAAAAAAAAACGGTCCGTAGAAGGACCCGCTCTATACCATGTGAGAATAAGCGAACAGGAATGAATGAACTAGCAGTGAAATGAGTACAAGTAGGAAACCCTAGAATTGTGTACCCCCTATAGGCTAACCCACTGTAGCCTACACAAGCAGAACATATATAATGTTTGACAGTATGTTCTGGAATCCTAAGACGGAGTATTTTTTGGAATTCGAAGTACCATAACACCCACACCTGTGCATGTCGGCCTTGGGAGCGGCCTTGTGGGAGCGGTAGTAAGTGGGGTCCACATAGCCCGGCGTGCCCATGACTCGGGTGGCGGCCACAGATGTACCATCCCCAAGTCGCACCAGCCCAAAGACAGCGAGCTTGGCGTGCATGCGCGCGTCCAGCAGCACATTGGCGGGCTTGATGTCGCGATGCACGATGCTGAAGCCGTGCAGATAATCCAGCCCGCGCACCATGCCCATCAGGATGGCGAGTCGTTGCTGCATTGTGAGAGGGTGGGGTGCATCTGGATTGAGAAAAAATGGAAGTTGGGAAGTAGGGTGATAGGGCAGTTGGGCAGTTGGTAACTTGACAATTATGGTAGATTTGGCAAGAATGAAAGAGGGGGTAATTGCCATCCAAAATGACAGCTGACCAGGGGTTTGACTTTTGAGTCGACTCAAAATTCAACTCCATCCAAAATGACAGCTGACTAAGGGCTTGACTTTTGAGTCGACTCAAAAGTCAACTCCATCCAAAATGACACCTGACCAGAGGCTTCTGTTAAGATTCTACAAACGACAGGTGGTGGTGGTATATATTGTTTACAATGGGGTTCTAGCTCAAAGATTCCTCAAAAAGTTGACAAAAAACAGAACACCGGGGGAGATGTTCAACTCACCTGCTCTGTTCTATCAATTCTTACTCTCTCCCGTCCACCTGCCTTGTGCAAGGCATCGGAATGTATCCACTCATCTGATCCAATCAACTCGCTTAAATCTGTGGAGACTTGCCTATTAAATCCGAGCAAATCAGCAAACTACCTTGGCTCACCAGGTCCGATCCATCGGTCGAGGTCGCCATTGGCCATGAACTCATCGACGACGATCTGCTCCATGCGCTCCGCCTCGTAGCTCATGTCAAAGCAGTACCCCAGCAGCCTCACCAGGTTTGGATGGCTCTTAGTCGCCATCTCGTTGACCTGCAGGGCCATGGGAGGTGGGTGGGGGCAGGGGGGGTGGGGGGAAAGGGGGGAGGGAAGCAGGCTGGCTTCTGATAATTATCAAAACCATCTACAGCAGCAGGTTGGGGAGCAGCCGCACCAGATGCGGACTTCTTGGCTGCCATCTAGCTTATATGAAGGGCGGTTGTGTGGGAGGAAGCCAATTCGGGGTAAGCAGGTTGGGAAGAAGCAGGTCGGGGAGAAGAAGGTTGGGAAAAAGTAGGTTGGGGGGAAGCAGGTTGGGGGGAAGCAGGTTAGGGAAAAGCAGATTAGGAGGAAATTGGTTAAGGCGAAGGAAGACACCCTACGGATAAGGTTGGGCAACAACACACCACTCACAAACGGTGGATACTTTTGAAACTACCAAGCAATTGCAACACATGGCAGGGCGCCTCACCACCACCTGCTACATCTAGCCTCTCACTGGAAGTTGTTGGAAAGCACACGGGCTCGTGTTAAAGAATTATCAAAAGCCAATGCAGCACAGGGCAGGACGTCTCACCTCGCGTCTGAAGTCATTGGTGAGCACGCGGGCTCGCTTCACAACCCACACCTCCTTAGGGTTCCGCGGATTACCCCCCCTGTACACATCGCCAAAGCTGCCGCTGCCTATGCGGTTGCTCTCTGCCCACCTCCCCGAGGCCCGAGCCATCTCCTCAAGGGAGAATCGCTGGCACACGTCTAGCCCAGCACCCGTTGCAGCATGCAGCAGTGGCTGCAATGCTGGCTCTGGTGCTGCCACTGCCACATGCAGCCGCTGCTGCAGCGGCTGCTTCTTCTGCTGCCCCCACTGCTTCTGATGCTGCTGATGGCTGCGGAGATTAAGTCTACAACGGTAGTGAGCTAGACTACAGGGGTAGGCACGAACTACTAGAGGTGATCCTAGCTTTGCTTGGTTCCTTAGTGTTTGCACATTCACGGAAGAATTTGGCAAGAGTTTTCACTAGCAAAGTTGGAATCCCAGAATATTGAACAAGAGATGGCAACAATGACTACATCAGGCACCTAGCAACCCTGCTGCTAGCCTGGTCGACCGCCAGCACACCTCGGTCGACCGCCTGCCAGCGTTGCGTAGAGGAGCCGCGCCAGTACTGCAGAAAGGCGACCTGCCAACGGAGCAGGTCGACGGCATGCCAACGTAGAACACAGCAGTGCGCGCGCTCGCAGGTGTGCGCAGACGATTGGCCCGACTTGCCTCGTTGGACATCAGTCGGCTGTTGTCTGCGCTTGACGAGCCACATCGACTTCGGGATACCAGCCCGAAGTCGCCTGCGCCATCGCGATCTCGACGACGTTCGCGTGCCTCCGCAGAACTCGTCGAGCAGGTTACCCAGTCGACCTGGTCGACCCCTGGTGCTCTGGTCGACTCCCAGGTGCCTCCCGTCGACCACTAGGTCCATCTGGTCGACCACCGGGCGCTCCTGGTCGACCACACCTCCCGTCAAGCTACCCCTTGGTCGACGGACCCCTTCCGTCAACCAGAACTGCTCCGTCGACCTCCCGGTCGAACTGCAGTTCGACAGGATGCTCCGTTGACCTCCCGATCGAGCTGCAGTTTGACGGGATGCTCCATAGACCTCCCGGTCGAGCTGCAGTTCGACGGGATGCTCCATAGACTTCCCCGTCGAGCAGTAGGTCGACGGACTGCTTCGTCGACCTCCCGGACGGCTCATCCGTCGCCTAGGCCAGTCAGTTGCACCTGTCGAGCATCCTGGTCGACAGCAACACCAAAGTGGTCCACTGCAGCTCGTCGTAACCTGTCGAGCAGCTATCCCACTGTGAGCGGTCGGGTGCTACTCCCGTACATCCGACCAAGTTGTCGGCGTTGCCCAAGCGAGGGCGGGGCCAACACTCCATTCCCGTCAACACTCCCCTGCCGCGCTCACGCTTGGGCCTCCAGCCCTCACGGCAGTACTCCACGGAGAGAACTCGTCCTCGGCGTGCACCCCACACACAGCACGCCGTCACCGCACCAGCCGTGCAGAAGGGCACGGCACCTACTGCTGCACCTCGTCGTCGCCGTCGCCGACGTCGACCAGACAAACTTGGCCGATGGCGACAGAGCACCGGTTGAAAGCCGGAAAATGCAGTGCCTTTGTCAGGAAATCCGCAAGCTGCTCGGTGGTCGGGATGTAGTTCAGCACAAATTTCCCGCGCCTCACCATGTGCTGCAGCCATGCGTAGCGTCGCTCCGTGTGCTTGAGGTTGCCCGTCAGCCCCAAGCCCTCAGCAACAGTGATTGCCAACTTGTTGTCGACGCGGAGGATGGTCGGCTTCCCAGCGTCGAGCAGCTTGAATTCCGCAAGGAGGAAGCGAAGTCGACGCCCCCTCCTTGCCGGCATCCGTGGCCGCCACGTACTCCGACTCGGTCGATGATAATGTCGCGCACTTGGTGCGCGAGCTCGATCAGGAGACGGCGGCCCCCTCCGTAGACGAACACGTAGCCTCCCGTGCTCGTCCGGTTCTGCTTGTCGCCCGCGTCGTCGGCATCAACGTAGCCGATCAGCTCCAACGATTCTGGTCCACCGCCGAACTCCAAGGCGGTGTCGCGAGTATCGGCACAGGTAAGCGAGGCAGCGATCGACCTCTCGCCAATGCTGGTCGCTCCTCACCGTGAGACCGCTCCCTAGCTTGCTGGAGGCGAACGCGATGTTCGGCCTAGTCGTCGTCGTTGCGAACTATAGCGATCCGACCTTCTGCCGGTACTCCTCCTCTTTGCGCTCCTGG